TAATGTCAACATCGCCGCCTGACGGTCTCGAATACCTATAGAACTTCTCGGTCAGAGTCACTGCAGCTGACATCAGTTGATGCTGAGCCCTTTCTCCGACTGCTGGCTGGGGAGATTCTGACGCCACTTACGCGTAGTCAGCGGGGTTTCCCCAAACAGGTATCTCCCCAGCGGGCGCCACCGCAACCAGTCGGACAAGTTTAACACTCCCATTAGATCCCGTGCATCTTGCTTGTTGTAGTGCCGTATTGTTATTACTCGTGCACTCTTGAGCCCTGTCTTCACTTTTGGCTTTATCACTGAGTTTCGAGTCCTTTCTGCATGCTCAGATGTCGCAAGATCGCGACTGTAATCAGTCACTAGTTGACTACGGGGTCGCAACAATCCAGCGTGGTTGCTAATATCTAGAGGTCTAGAAATTAATTCCTACTCCTGACATAACGACTTCTATTTCTCAAGTAAATTTTGAATGAATTAACAAATGATTAGTGAAAAATCCATGTATAATCACTAAGAAACTAAGAAATGAAACTCACATGTCAAATGTGTTTTGTTTTTTTTAACTTTCTCGTAAACTGAAAACCCGCACAAAACTGCATACATTTTGATGCATTTTCCGCCATTAGCAGTCATTCCGCGAAGGTCAATTTTGTCTCCCCCCCGCGTGTGAGAGAGAGCGAGAGATAGAGAGTGGGAGGGGAGAAACAGAGAGTGGGAGAGAGAGAAAGAAAGAGAGTGGGAGAGAGAGGAAAGAAAGAGAGTGGGAGAGAGAGCAAAGAGAGTGGAGAGAGAGAAAGAGAGTGGAGAGAAGAAAGAGAGTGGGAGAGCGAGAAAGAGAGTGGGAGGAGAGAAAGAGAGAGTGGGAGAGAGAGAAAAGAGGAGTGGGCAGAGAGAGAAAGAGCAAGTGGAGAGGAGAGAAAGAAAGAGAGAGGGAGAGAGATGTGGGAGAGAGAGAAGGAGTGGGAAGAGAGAACAGAGAGAGTTGGGAGAGAGAGAAAGAGCGAGTGGGAGAGAGAGAAAGAAGCGAGAGGGAGAGAGAGAAAAGAGGCGAGTGGGAGAGAGAGAAAGAGGCGTAGTGAGAGAAGAGAAAGAGCGAGAGGGAGAGAGAGAAAGAATGAGAGAGACAAGAGCGAGTGGGAGAGAGAGAAGAGAGAGTGGAGAGAGAGAAAAGAAGAGAGTGGAGAGATAGAAAGAATCTGGGAGAGAGAGAAAGAAGAGTGGCGAGAGAGAGAAAGAAAAGCCGAGAGAAAAGAGCCGTGGGAGAGAGAGAAAGAAGAGTGGGGCGAGAGAAAGAGAGAGTGGGAGAGAGAGAAAGAGAGTGGGAGAGAAAGAGAAAGAGCAAGTGGGAAGGAGAAGAGAGAAAGAAAGAGAGAGGGAGAGAGATAGTGGGAGAGAGAGAAAGAGAAGTGGGAGAGAGAAAGGAGAGTGGGAGAGAGAAGAAAGAAAGAGAGTGGGAGTAGAAGAAAGAGCGAGGAGGGAGAGAGAGAAAGAAAAGAGAGATGAAAGAGCCGAGTGGGAGAGAGAGAAAAGAAGCGAGTGGGAGAGAGAAAGAGCGAGTGGGAGAGAGACGAGAAAGAGAGTGGGAGAGAGAGAAGGAGAGAGTGGGACGAGAGAGAAAGATGCAAGTGGCGAAGGAAGAGAGAGAAAAGAAAGAGAGAGGAGGAGAGATAGTGGGAGAGAGCAGAAAGAAGAGTGGAAGAGAAAGAGAGAGTGGGAGAGAGAGAAAGAGCGAGTGGGAGAGAGATAAAGAGAGTGGGAAGAGAGAGAAAGAGAGAGTGGGAGAGAGAGAAAGAGAGAGTGGGAGAAGAGAGAAAAGAGAGGGGAAGAGAGAGAAAGAGCAAGTGGGAGAGAGAGAGAAAGAAAGAGAGAGGGAGAGAGGATAAGTGGGAGAGAGAGAAAGAGAAGTGGGAGAGAGAAAGAGAGGTGGGAGAGAGAGAAAGAGAGGAGGTGGGTAGAGAGAGAAAAGGAGGCGAGGTGGGGAGAGAGAGAAAGAGGCGAGTTGGGAGAGAGATGAGAAAGAGCGACGTGGGGAGAGAGACAGAGAATTGGGGGAGAGAGAGAAGAGCGAGAGGGGAGAGGAAAGAGCGAGTTGGGAGAGAGAGAAAGAGCTGAGGATGGGAGAGAGATGAAAGAGCGAGTTTGGGAGAGAGAGAAGAAAGGAGCGGAGTGGGAGAGCGAGAAAGAGAGAGTGGGAGAGAAGAAGAGAGAGTGGGGAAGAGAAGAACAGGAGAGTGGGAAGAGAGAGAAAAGAGAAGTGGGAGAGAGAGAAAAGAGCAAGTGGGAGAGAGAGGAGAAAGAAAGAGAGAGGGAGAGAGATAGTGGGAGAGAGGAAGAGAGTTGGGAGAGAGAAGAGAGAGTGGGAGAGAGAGAAAGAGAGAGGTGAGAGAGAGAGAAAAGGAGGTAGAGAGTTTGGGGAGAGAGCGAAAGATGCGAGTGGGAAGAGGAAAGGAGCTGAGTGGGTAGGAGGAGAGAGAGAAGCCGGAGATGGGAGAAGAGAGAA